TCAAAAGAAAAGTCATTAACGACAAGAGACATACCACACGTAGGACTTAAAGGTTATCATCATAGCAAAAAGGGCTCCACTTTTTTCCAACAAGTCTGGAGTGGTGGGAAGCCCTCTCATTCGGAACATCAGCCTCTCTATAAAACGCGCAGCTTTTGTCAAGTAGTAAACTCTATAAACCTGCAAGATGATTAAGTTTGTAAAATATATAATTTACTCTTTGAAAGGAACGAGGAATGAGTTATAAGTTATAACTATAGGTGAAATACCTACCAAATAATTGGAACAAAGTGGGAAACAAGATGAGCATCATTCCAACCAGAAACGTAATCACTATTGAAAAAATCACCACACCTAAATGGTGTGAAAATTCTTTATTTATAATCGCGAGGAAATCGTCGACCGGATAAAAACGACCTAAAAAAATTTGTTAGAAGAAAGAAAATAATTGAACACTAAAGTATGTGAAGACAAATTGATTATTATTTTCATTCATTCACATATTTAAATAACCATCCTATCCTAAAATTTAATTGAAATATCCAAAACCAAAACAACAACTAACTAAGTTTAAGGAAACGTGTGAATAGACCCATAGCTTTTATCTAACAGGATATAGAAAGAGTAATAAACGGAGAGATACTTATGGTAAGCCGAGATAAATAAAAGATCAAATATGATATATATGGTAAACTATAATTCAGTACTAAATATCCTTAACACCCTGCAAGCTGAGTGTCACAATCTGTAATATGATTGTGACTCGAGTAAGTCATCGAGGACGATGACTAAGCTAAGTGGAGGAGAATGTCACAACCATAGTATGAAGAGAGTAGGTTGTGACCCTCACGCAATGACAAGCAAAGGGGCGTCCCTCAAGAGACGCCCATCCAACCATATGCGGGCCAACATAGAAGAATGCCATGATGTGATCGAGGAGGACGATGCATCATCCAACATACCACCACGCAAAGTGGGCATTGAAGACATGTTGAGACATAAGCATAACAGAGACATCAACATAGACATGAAGGACAAGATAGGCTTGTTGAAGGGCCGGGTAGGGCCCCGGGCCTTAACCTCAAAAGTCGGGGTTTCGGAAGGAATTTAGGCATGTGGTTCGGGAGTTAAGTCCGTCCATATGAAATATGAATGCTCGCCAAGTTTGGTGTCAATCAGACATTAGACGGACAATGCACGACACCGTATGACACCTCACCAAAATCATGTCTACACCTCGTAGAATGAAAATTGCTCAAAATGTACTATAGGGATACCATGGTGTTAGCTCTCCACCACCCATGGGCCCTGTGGCCTAAGTGAGCTACCCTGTGGCACATACGTGTGTCACAGTGTGGGCAAGTGTGCCGAGACGAGTGTCTCGGGCGACTTCCTTTGAAATGGGTTTTTGAAGGACAGTACTGGACGACACGGGTGTGCCGGTATTGCGCCCTAGCCCGCGTGTTGGAGGTTGCTACATACACCCGCTATCCGGTATGGTATCCGTAAATGACTCGGCATGGGCACGGAAGGGCCTATGCCTCGATAGAACCCGGATGGATGGATGTTCGGAAAGTCCCGATGAGATGAACGACACGCGGGCCCATTCTCGATGGCATGACCGAATGAGTTATGATGGCCGACGACATCCCGAGACTCGGGATGGCGTCAAGACATATGGACCCTATCGATGGGGATCGAGATGACAAGATGAGATGCGACGTTATATTGAGAGACCTTGGCCCGAATAGAGGCAAGGTCGAGCCAAATGAGTTGGCCTAGCATAGAGGCAAGTCGAATGTGTCGCAGACAATTGAACATACACGCACAGGCGACGTATGTGGTTGAACAAGCTTGGATTCCGCACAAGCGATGTTCAATTGGCGAAGACAAACCTCGCCTAAGGTCCGACGAAGCCACAAAGCCGGGGAGAAAAATACATATGGGGCTTAATTCCCCTTAAGGCTAGTTGTGAGCGTGTATAGATCACGACGCTGCACGGTCAAGAAGTTAGGACCGTGACACTGAGCGTCGGATTTGAACGAACGTGAAACTTGGATCTGAAAAATTCAAAGAGAGATCGAGAAACACTTTTTGTGAAGATGTCAATAACCTGGTTCAAAGAAGACGTAGAGAAACATGTTCTTGGCCATCGAAAACTGCAGGTGATAGTCGCACAGTCGCGATGTTGTCTTGGCTCCGACGAGAATTTGTCTAATCCACGAAGTAGAAGGGGAAACCAGAGGAAGAAGGAGAAGAGAGAGAGGGTTCGATGGTGACTATAAAGAAGAGAGGAAGAAGGCGACATAAACTAAGAATGCGGACTTTAGGTGTATTTTAGACGAAGAAAGAGAGGGGCGGAGATGGAGTGGGGTTTGAGCCTTGTGGACTGGTTTGCTATCGAGCAAATGAACACGAGTAAGAATATCTCGAACATATTTTAACTTACTAATAAAGAGACCATCAGAAGTGGGTGAAGAGCCACAATGATAGATTTATAGACAACGATTCTATTCACAGCACCACCATTACCAGGAGTGAAGACTGGCAAAGGAGCAGTAGGCAGAGCCAGAACAATAGCAGGTGGTGAAGTCCAATGGACAAAGAGGGAGCCACGCCTCCCGAAGTGGAGATCGAAGATGGTGTTGAAGCCAGAAGAGTCGCCAAAGTTGGCGAAGGAGCCGATTTTGGCGAGGAGGCTAGTGGTGACTTGGTTGACGAAGAGGCCAGTGCGGCGCCCAGATTCCGAGGGTAAATCTCTACCGAAGGTCGATAGACTTTTCGAGATTCTGTATATTTCCGATGAGAACACGTATGAGGATTCTCAAATCTCTACCGAAGGGTGATTTGAGGTCAAAAGGGTGGAGTCGAAGAATAATCAATCGACTCCACCTACGGCAGCCATGAAGACTACCCCTGCTGCGTCAAAGTCGGCATTGGTGGTGGAGAAGAAGATGAGTAAAGGATTCAAAAACCATTAAAAATAAAGGATCAGTTTACTAAACCGAAAGGGCTATGATACCATGAGAATATTTGCTAAAACCACCACACCTAAATGATGTGAAAGTTCTCTATTTATAATCAAATAACTTAAGAGGATATGGAAAAAGTAATAAATGGAAAGATATTTATGCTAAGCCCTAATGAAAGATATTTGCCTTTAATAAAAGATCAAATATAATATAGATGGTAAACTATAATTCAGTATTAAATATCCTTAACAACTATAACAAGCGGAGGCAAGCCAATCATCGGCCAAGTTACATACATGACAGATAATGGAGCTATTGTTGAGGATGGTTGGAAGGGAGCCACACATTGACTAATTTAGAGGATGATCATAGGTTTATAAGCAAGGGGACACTATCTCCTCAAAGTGAACAATATCATACCATTGTGGAAAGTTGTGATTCCTAAGAGCTATAATGAAAGTTGTCCTCCAACCCTAGTAATGAAGCTCCACCTCTTTGAGCTGAATTGCAAGTATGGTATTTAAACACCGCTGGTAACGAGAAGGAACATGACAACTCCAACGTAAAATAGGACTTCAAACACCAATGAAGCCACAACTTCTTCTTGAACAATGTCAATGTATTACATTAGTGGTTTAGATAACAATATAAACTCAGCTGCCAATGAACTGGATTCAATAAATACCTACGAGAATCTCATTCTTGAAGAAACCCTCAATCAGACCACCAAGAAAAACTTGAGAAAGAATCAAAGATGATATAAACGCCGCAGGAGCCAGTACCCAGAGGAGAGATCCCTTGTTTTCACCAAAAGAAGCTAACATTAACTTACCATCTTCTACCAACAGGTGAGTTAAACCATGAAATGAGATTGAGCCAGATTTCCCACGAAATGCCTCCACTCCATTCAATCTACTAACATACACTACATGATTTTCCCTCTAGATGATTCTAATTTAGCCTTCCTGTTAGAATCAGCCACGCACATCAACGCCCCTCTCTTCCTCTTCCACACATCCCCAGTCAAATATTATAGCAAAAATCTCACAACCAATACTAACTCTTATCAAGCTGATCCACAAAGAACAAATCATATACACACGCGACAAGAATAAAAATGGCACCAAACTGAAAACATACATTTCGGCGAAAATTAAAGCTGTACTCCTTGCCTCCTCTGTCGAACTCGGTTTCCTAATTGGTTGAGAAGAAATGAAGAGCAAATCTATAACGTTACTTCCGAATGACAGGACGATCATAAAATTAATATTCGAAACAAGCACTAACCAGTTGATGAAAGCGAGCACGACCATCCCGTAATCCGACCAATGTCGAGGGAAGCCCTACGACAGACGGATTGCGACTCCATATTTTTAGGGCTTTAGAGCAGAGCAACTTGTCCTCAAACTCCCCTAATCCCGCGAAAATGCTTCGGACATACGCGAGTCTTCGCAAGGGAGTTAGAAAACGACGAGGTGGGGACCCGGTTCCAGGTGGCGAATATTATATATTTAATATTATTTTTTAAAAATAGTTATTTTAAAATTTTTCTTTTTTGATATAATTTTTATTAAAAAAATTAAAAAAATATATATTTTATAAGCAAACATATTATACAAAATTAACTAATTTATTTTTTAATATATATATATATATATGTGTGTGTGTGCATCGAAATATATGGTTACATCCATTGGGATTACCCCGCCAGAAATCAGGCACAGTATGGGCCTATGGCCCAACAACAACATATTCGGAGGCTGCTTCAACCCACTGACTTTTATAGCCCAATAGGCCCACGATTCTACAAAAACAAAATCTGGATGATTAGAACATAAACAAGATAATTTTGTTGCATAGCCTTTCCGACCAAAGGCTTGTAATTGAGCGAAGAAATGGCGTCGTTTGGACCAAATCAACGGCAAACACAAGGCTCTCTACTTTTACGCCCACCCCATTCAGCTTCAGAGCCCCTCAGCACACAGTCCAAAATAACAGATTTTTTGAGAGCTGGTTGGCTCTCCGCCCTTGCCTTTCGAATTTGCTATCTTTTTCGCTTCCATTTTTAGCATACTCCCCTCCCTTGTCTCTCAATTTCACCCCCAACAGCACCCATTTTAAACTTGGGTGTGCTTTGGATCATTAGCCTTCTGGGGTTCAACATTCTTTCTATATGAAATTTTCACTTCTCACGTGGAAATTCATATAAATATATTTTTGATCCGCAAAAAAGGGAGAGAAGGTCCGGTCGGAGCAGGCAGAGTCAGAGAAGCGTACACCCACCACCGCTAAGGCTGCCACAACATGTTTGAAGACCCCGACAGCATACCTCGAGCCAAATACGGTGGCAACATGGCACATTCCGACCCCAACATTTCGACCACGCTAAGCGTCGAAGACGATGATTTCGCCATGAGAAACAGCAGCGCTTCCGTCGGCGCTAACGCCTATTACGACCAGAGTCGTACTAGCGGCGAAGGCTCTCCCATGACAATGTCGCCATGGAATCAGACCTCCATGTTCGCTAAATCCCCATGGTCTCAAGTGGAAGAAAACAGCGGCCCACAAAATGGCTTGATTGGCTCTCTTGTTCGTGAAGAGGGCCATATCTATTCCTTGGCTGCTGCAGGGGAGCTTCTCTACACTGGCTCCGACAGTAAGAACATTCGAGTTTGGAAGGATTTGAAGGAATATGCCGCTTTTAAATCCAGCAGTGGGTTGGTGAAAGCCATTATAATCTCCGGCGAGAAGATTTTCACCGGACACCAAGACGGCAAAATCCGCGTCTGGAAGGTGTCCCAAAAGAACCCAAGTGATCATAAGCGAGCTGGAACATTGCCAACGCTCAAGGACATTTTCAAAAGCTCAATTAACCCCAACAATTACGTGGAAGGTCGAGGGCGTAGAAGGGCTTTGTGGATCAAGCACTCTGATGCAGTGTCCTGTTTGAGCCTGACAGAGGACAAACTCCTCTTATACTCTGCTTCGTGGGACAGAACTTTAAAGGTTTGGAGAATTTCAGACTCCAAGTGCTTGGAGTCACTGAATGTGCACGACGATGCGGTGAATTCGGTGGTGGCGAGCGTGGAGGGGCTGGTGTTTACCGGCTCGGCGGACGGGACAGTGAAGGTATGGCAAAGAGAGGCGAAAGGGAAGGCAACAAAGCACACTCTGGTGGAGTCTCTGTTGAAGCAGGAATGTGCAGTGACGGCGCTGGCAATCACGGAAGCCGGAACGTTTGTCTACTGTGGGTCATCTAATGGGATGGTGAACTTCTGGGAAAGGAAAGAGAAATTGTCACACGGCGGCATTCTAAAAGCGCATAAGCTGACTGTCCTGTGTCTGGTGGCGGCGGGGTGTATGTTGTTCAGTGGCTCCGCCGACAAGACCATATGCGTATGGCGTAGAGATGGGTCAGTCCACACATGTCTGTCGGTGCTGTCGGGACACGGTGGGCCGGTGAAGTGCTTGGCGGCAGAAGTGGACGAGGAGACATCGAAGAATGGGGACAAACAGTGGATGGTGTACAGTGGAAGCTTGGACAAGTCGATTAAGGTGTGGCGCGTGTCCGAGATGGCGGCGGACAGGAATGGTGTAGCGATGATGCAGCAGCAGTTCGGGACAGACACAGACTCAGCGCCGTCAGAAAACAGCTTCACGTCTTCCACCAGAGCAGCCAGCCTAGGCAAACGACCGTGAAAGTGATTGTGAAGGAGAATGAGAGTGAATGTTTCCAAGATTTTGAGATGTTTTCAAAGTGTGTGCGTTTTCTGAAGCAGCAAACTCACCTTCCTCCTCTTCTGTTGTATATTGTGGAACAGATAATAACACTCCACTTGTATGTCATTACATTCATCATTAAACATTACTAATCATATTTTTTACTTCCACCTTCCAACCTTAATTCTATCCCTTACAACTGCATGCAAAACTAAGCATCTCTGAATGCTTATCCTTCACAATAACACCACATCCAAAGTTATTATTGATATTACAAACTGAATTCATAGCGGAGTAGACGTGTCTTTACAATATACATATTACTTGCACCATTCTTATTGAACTAGTTTTGTTTTTAATATCACACTCTGTAAACATGAGCAGGTAGGCGTGGAGATAAAACAATTTTGAGTGGAGCTTTTGTTTTTAATATCACACTCTGTAAACCACCGTGGTAGTGTCGAATCCACCCAATATCATATTCTACATATATTTGAACCAAAACTTGTTGATTAATAAAATTAATTTGTTTTAGTTACAATGCTAAAATAGTTACCAAGCAAGTAGCTTTGACGACGTGTCACCATCGAAGCTGAAAAGAATCCGATGGAACAAACACTCCAAACAATTTAAAGAAATCCCTCAATGCCTTTTGGCAATCTTCACCGTCGTGGCGGTTGAAGGCGGTGGAGAATCGCTTTCCGATCACCAACATGAATATGATGTTGAGCGTTATGTCAGCGAACAAATTCTTCATTTCCACCACCAATTTTTCGTCTTTTCTTGTGAGGAGCTCAAGAGTGGCTATCTTGCGTGCATGGCGCCAAAGTGGAGAGTAAGGGCTCAAACCCATCATGGCATAGTCGTAGCCCAATAGCTTTGAGGCTGCAAGCTTTGGTCGAGAGGCAAAGATTCTGTCTTTTGTAGTAAAAAACTCTTTTGCTATATCCCAATTGCTCACAATCAAGGCCTTTGTCATACCGAGCCGAATTGTAAATATTGGTCCGTGCTTATCAGCCAATTTTGAAAGGGTTATGTGAGTTGACTCTTTTGTACTTAGCAAATGAAGGTGGCCAATCACCGGCCAGGCGCCACCGGATTCCGGTGGGAGTTTCTTCCGATGAGCGGCGGATCTCCGGGATATAGTGAAGAGAGCATAGAGAAAGAAGAGAAGGGCGAAGATTATTCCGGCGAGAGGCAGCTGTTCCATTCCGGTTGCTCTGCGAATTGAGCGGTGGGAAGGGGTGGTTTATATAAGAGACTTGATGGCTCTCCGGACTTCCAAAAACAAATTAAGTGGAGATTTTTATATAAATGATTTCATTTTATTTATCGCAATAATTCATCTCGTGACTGGTATCACAAATTAAGTGGTGTTATTGAATATATTGATGTAATGAATATTTCTAAATTAGGAAATTTTAAGCTTTTTTTCTTTTAAAATAATTAGTAATATTCTTAATTTTTTTAAAATAAAAAACTAAAAAATATTAAATTGGATTTTTTTTAATTATATGAAAGTCATTTTGTTTTTTTTTTTTTAAATTTATAAGTTGAATTTTGAATCAATAATTTCATACTTTAATTCATTTTTAACATTTTTACTCATCAAACCCGAATTAAATTCTGTTATAATATATAGTTTTTATGGGACAATATTATATTAAATTTTCTTTTACAAAATTAACCCTTTCATTCAATTAATGTTAGACTAAAAAATTGAAAAGTTTTTTGTTTGGTTTTTTAAGAAAATTAAATAATAATATATAATCATAAAATAATTCATTTCTTTTTCTCCTTTCGAAAATAAGTTTCGTAATTTTTATAATTATGGTAATCAATCATTCGTAAACATAGAAAAAAAATTGTCAAAAAGGATTTAAAATATCGAGAACGTATATCTTTCAACTATTTATGATGATAACAACAACACACATCAACTTGTGAAAGATTTTTTTGGATTGAAACCAATAACCGGGCCCAAGTAATAGAGAAAAGGCATATCAGCCATATAAATTCTATTTCATGCTGTCATAGTTAAAAGTATACAATATCTAACGCGTTAGAGACATTCATAAGAAAGGGGGAGAGGAGACGAGAAGAGGATTTTTTTATTTATTTTATTTATTCTAATAATTTAAAGAAAATTCATGCATGTAATTTTACGCATTTATCAGTTTAAAAAACAGCTGTTTTAAAGTTTTTATTTTTCAAGAGTATTTTTACGGAAAAAAAAATTATAAGAAATCATAATAATTCAATCAATTTTATAATTAAACGTCTTATTGGATAATCTTTAAAATTTTAAATTTTAATAGTACAATATATTCTTTAATAATTAAAAAATTATTAATTTAAATTTTACCATTAAAATCTCAAAACTAATTAATTTATTTTTTTAATATACTAAAAAGCGGACTTTTTTTTTTTTTTTTTAAATATACCAAAAAGCGAGAGTATATATATATATATTATTAACATTCATAAGAATGCACCATCATTTAGGAATTTAATTAAATGAGAACGATAATTAAAATTAATATAACAATTATTCATAACATTATTTTCGAGGTATTTATTACACATAAAACTAATGTTCATCTAATTGATGGTATTATTCAAGAAACACTAGGGAAGGCCTAAGTTGAACTAGATGAACAATCTTGAGTGGATATCAAAGACGGAGACGTGGCCTTAAAACCACCTCGAGTGGATCCTTTCTAATACTCGTCATACCAGCGCTTTCTTCCATATTCAATAACTCTTTAGATGGCCTATCAATTTCAAACTCATGAAGCAAATTTGCGAGCGTTAAATGCATAATTTGAAGGGCAAATGAGATTCCAGGACACATCCTTCTTCCGTTTCCAAAGGGTATAAACTCAGGAGTTTGTCCTCTAAAATTGAAATCTCTGTGACTTGTTAAAAATCTCTCTGGTCGAAATTCACTAGGATCTTCCCATACTTGTGGGTCTCTTTGAAGTTTCTGAATGTTTACCATCAAACGTGTCCCCGCCGGAATATGGTAGTCATTAATAGTACAATCCTCTATAGATTCATGAGGGATGCCAAGTGGCCCAGCAGGATACAAACGTAATGTTTCCTTCACAATTGCTTGGAGATATACAAGATTTTTCACGTCGGATTCTTTCAGGTGTGTTTCTCTCCCAACGTGTTCATCTAATTCAAGTTGAGCTTTCTTAAGTGCTTCAGGATTGTTGAGTAGTAAAGAAAGAGCCCATACCATTGTAACTGTCGTCGTATCCGAACCCGCCAATATAAGTGCCTACACAAGCTCCAAACAACTTAATTAAACCATTTATATATTCTTAGACAAAATAAAACAAATAAACGTACCAAACACGTGGATTTGATTACGGTATTAGCCTCATAGCTCGAAAGTTCTTCATAATCTTTAACACCAGAAAGCATGACATCCATGAAATCATGCTCCGCCGTCTTCGCTTCATCGGAAGCTCTCATTTTCCGACGCTCTTCCACCCATTTATCCAACACTTCATCCAAAACCTCCGCCGTCTTCTTCATGGCCTTCTCATGTCCTCCCAAATCCAACCATTTAAGAAACGGAAATGAATCCGAAGGAACAAACACTCCAAACCATTCAAAGAATTCCCTCAACGCCTTCCGATACTCTTCATTACCGCCACCCTCCACCGCCGTCGAGAATCGTTTTCCGACCACTACTCTGAATATGGTATTGAGAGTAATATCACCAAACCACGTCTTCATATCCACCAAAGCTTTCTCCTTTCCATTGCCACATAACTCATACAGCTTCTTAATCGAACTTTCAACCTCCGATACCCTAACGTGTTGGAGCTGCTGCAGGCGGTGGTTCGTGAAGAGCTCGAGGGTGGCCATTTTACGAACATGGCGCCAGTGCGAGCCATAGGGGCTCAACCCCATCATGGCATAGTTATAACCAAGCAGCTTTGAGGCGACAAGCTTTGGTCGAGAGGCAAAGATTCTGTCTTTTGTCGTGAAACATTCCCTGGCTATCTCCCAGCTGCTTACAATCAAGGTTCTGTGCATGCCCAACTTCAGTGTAAAGATTGGTCCGTACACATCCGCCATTTTGGCCAACGTTATGTGGGCTGGCTCTGTTGTGCTTAGTAGATGGAGGTGGCCGATCACCGGCCAAGCTCCGGCGGGTTCCGGTGGGAGTCTTTTTGGATTAGAGCTGAGTTTTGTAGATATGTTGAAGAGGGCATAGAGGAAGATGAGAAGGGTGAAGATTCCGGCGACGGCGGCCGATGAGGAGGTGTGAGGAAGTTCCATCTCTCTCATCTCTGTGAAATGAGAGAGAAGTGGGAGATAACGTTTTTATGGGAAGTTGAGCCATGGACCGACAAGTGATGAGGACAATATTTGGTTGAATATTAATGGTATCCAGCTGTTCTAATATGAAGCCTTCATTGAATTCCTGTCATCCTGCCTATTAATTATTTTTTGAGTTACAAAATTTATTTAATTTAATTTTATATAAAATTATAAATATCGTTGGATTTCTATATTTAGAATTAGATTTTATGATTTTATTTTACATAAAAGTCAATTTTACACACTTATATATATAATATATATACTTCATCATATTACCATTATCTTTACCCACGTTTTAAAATCTTGAGGAGGATGATAATATATAACAGGTGAAAATGAGTAATATCTACTAACAATAAACTTGAGTTGTTATAAATGGTATTAGAGTTAGACATCGAACGGTGTGCTAGCATGGAAACATCTCCTTAGTATAAGCGTTTAAAAACCGTGAGGCTGATTGTGATACGTAAAGGACTAAAGTGGACAATGTCAGCGTCCCTAGTAAACGTATTTTAAAATCATGAAGCTGACAGTTATACATAATAGACCAAAACAGACAATGTCGGCCATTTTGCCCAAGATTATGTCAGTTGGCTCTATTGCACTTAGCAGATGGAGGTAGCCAAGCTCCGGCTGGTTCAGGGCGAAGATCCCGGCTGCGTCAGCCGATGAGGAGAGTTTGAAAGGAATCACAGCTGTACAAAAGAGACATGTGTACATTTTTATTATTATTATTATTTTAATTTAACCGTGTAAGGGTATTCTTGAAATTTTACATATGTTTTTTTTTTTTAAATTTAAGGATATTATTTTTTCAAAACAAAAGTTTTTTTTTTTTTTTTAATTATTATTAATTTAGCCTTCAAACTATGTTTTACGGTTGTATGAAGAATATTTATCAACAAATGATTTTTTCATTATTAAAAATGAAGGGGAGAAATATATACAAATATTGATTTAAATTTAATAATTACGGAACTTTTCACATTTAAAATGATAAATGTTCTTAAGAGTCGTGTTCCTGCAGAAGTGTGGTAACTAGCAACCGTGCAATCTTTCATTAATTCATGTGGAAATCCGATTAGATTTAGAGGGTTCAAATAGAAGGTTTCATTCGCAACGACTTTATAATACATTAGATTTTTTTATATAAATTACACGATTCTATCACGTCATTGTCTCCCAACTTCTCATCTAAATCAAAGAAAGTTTAAATGTGGTAGGTCCATAAGCATGAGAAGAAGACAAGGATGGTGCCTTTTTCGTATTAATTGCGAAGACAAGTGAAGGTTAGAGCCTACAATGGTTATCACTTGCGTGAAGTGATGTATAAACTTTTTAATTTGTATGTCTTCCAAGTAAGAGGCTTGTTCGGTGTCGTATTAAGATGAAAATAGGTTATGAGCCACATGTGAAGATGATGTGAGGAACCAAGACAGACAAGTATATGATTATATACACTAGGAAATATGAATTAAACCCTACTAGAAAATCTGAGACCGTGCTCATAACTATATGATCAGAGCTATGGGTTGAAACTATGACGAGGTCACGACTTGAACACTTTGAATGATGTAATATCTACCATCTTTAAACAGGGTACAAGATACTAAATAATATTTACAAAAAAAATATAAACTAACTAAATCTTGATAATAAAATAAAATATACTACTATTCAAATTTAACTAATTAGAATATCATATATTTCATAACTAATTCAAATTCGAAATAAGTTGCAGTAAATTCTGACATAGTTAAGATATATGGGTGGGTGATATTGATGTTAAAGATTAAGGTAGTTCATACCTCATGAGATGATAAACTTTCAAGAACCAAACCATAAAAACAAGTGACTTGAACATATTTTAATACGAATTGATAATTTTATATTAATTTACTAAACAACCCAACAAAAATCTAACCCATCTATTT